TGCACCTGACCATATGTAAGAATGAAACCTGAAAGTTGCCACAACACATCATTTGTCTTTGTAAACATAGTACACTTTAAATACAGGAGGGAAGGAAAGGAATTCTTTCTCCTGCCATTCAGTTTCCATAAATGAAGTTAGGAGACCACACACAGGGAGAAAACTAAGATTGTGTCAAAGTGACTGTAACACCTGCAGCAAGCACAGATCTCAAGAACAGATAACTTTGTGAAACAAACTATAAATTAGGTGAATGAAGACCTGCTGCCTCATTTTATGGATGCATTGTGTCCATGTAGTTGCTTCATAATTCAGAAGATAAACACCGATATCAATAATTCTACTAAATAAAAACTTCGTGTGCAGCCAGCATCATGATATCAGGTAAACAAACCCACAAAAGAATGTCAACACAACTATTGGAATCACTGTCAAAAAATGTAGAATAAAGAAGGGGACATAGATAGCTGGAAGTGAAAGAAGTCTATGATATATTTTAAAGTCACCTGAGAGAGACTATAAAAACAGGCTAAAGTTGGCTGGTGAGCACCATAGCATGGCAACACTGCAGAAACTCTAAAGTCACCCTCAGGACCAATTCTTTAACCCTTTCTTTGCTGAGGTAGCCGATACTATTTCATAAATGTTTACTATCCTTATTTTATTAATAAAAATGCTTTTATTTCAAATTTAATTTAAATGGGGTAAGCATTATAATGACTTCCAAAGTCTGTAGTTGCTCAAGTTTGACTTTTATAGATATCGTTAAGTCTCAATTTAATTGAAGCTTCATGTGAGATATTATTTGGTTTGTTTTATAAAAATAGTTAATGCATGTAGTAAATACTTGTAATTGAATTTATGTGAAAGCTTTTGTTTCCTTGAACTATAAACAGATTATGGAATGTTTATATTCATGGACTAAAGTGTTTTCCTAACTTCTGTCACTCTTAACACAATATATCCTGTCTTGTGATCTAGGTAGTATCTCTGGTGCAGTTACTCAGTGATCCTTTCTATAGGACACTTGAAGGCTTCCGAATGCTCGTGGAAAAAGAATGGCTCTCTTTTGGTCATAAATTCAGTCAACGTAGTAATCTGACTCTCAATTGTCAGGGTAGTGGATTTGCTCCTGTTTTCTTACAGTTCTTAGACTGTGTGCATCAGGTAAGTCAATCTTTATATACTTTACAAGAAGAATTCATAAATAAGTGTGTAGATGCTACTATTTCAGATGTTATAGATAATGGTTTGAGAGAAGACTAGTAACCTTGTTCTCTAGCTTTTATTAAAGTGAATGGATTTCACCTCAAGAAGAGCTGGAATGGTTGCCTAGAGGAGACTGACCCATCCACACAAGACAAAGAGGGATGGTTGCCATTATGGATCTTTTAAGGTCATTTATGCAGAGATTTCAAATAGAAGTTTTTTTAAGCTTAAGACTGGCTTTTGGCAGTCTGGAGGACCTTTATTCAGGAGAAGCAATTGACTGATTTTTAGTACAGTGACTAGACAGTTTTTAATTCCTTGTGCTTGATGATGAGCTTTGAGGCCTTGTACTCCATCAGTTCTGGAAACAACAAGCTATAAACCAGGGGGACCTGAGATGTTCTTGTTTTTTATAAATACTGCATGTTCAGAAGACGACGAATGCTAACAGTTATGTTGTGTAGGAAGAAGTTAGGTTAAGAGTATTGCACTCATTTCAGTTTAGTTCTAAACTCTCTCCTTTTCTTCATCTCAAACCAGTAAATATAAATGCCTTGCAGAATCTCTGTCTGTGCAAACACAAGACAGAAGCTTGCATAGTTCCTCTTGTACATATGTCTTTTCCCATTTCTCTCATTTTTCTTGCTGAAAAAGCTGAAAAGACTCCTGCACATTATTAACCTGTATTAAAATTTGTGGATGACTATGTCTCACAGAAGATGACTGTTAAAGAATCAGCCTTCTTACTGGGAACAGACATTCGTAGTGAATACTTGCATGAAGCAGACCCTGAAAAAGAAGTTTCTTACTCTGCTACCTGAAGCAAAGTCCACAGATTAAATAACTTACTGAACCAATCTTTAGATATCTATAGGAGACTGATAATGAGTGAACTTGTAAGAATATGAGTAAAGACTTACTGAAGAACATGTTGCAGAAAAGAAATTTTTTTTTATCCCAATGTTAAGCATCAACAGCCATCTTATTGCTGTCTTGCAAGTTAATACATCATACACTTGGATTTTGGTTCGATTCCTACAGCATTCCCCTTTAGAAAACTTCAGAAGTATTTGTCACATCTCCTGTTTCATCAATCTATTTCCTAATGGCTGTGGCCCTCAGATTAATTTTTATTTGAAATGGGGAGATTTCTCTAAAGAGAACTGCATTTTTCATTCAAACAAGTTAATCTGCTCAATTGTCACACTAACCCTTATAATAGCTTAAGCTTATTCCTCCTTTTCTGAAGTAGAAAAAACAAAGTCTTGGTTGCAATGGCTACAACAGGACAGAATAGCCATGTCTTCCAGTACTGAAACCCATCTGCTTGGTGGTTCCATTCAATTCTGTGTGGAAATCATTTGTCTGGTGCTATATTCTCTCTGCTGTCAGATGTCTTCTCCAGACTTTAGCGAACTGACTGGATAACATTGTCATTTAGTAGAATGGAGTAAACCTACATTTGATTTCAAGTAGTGGTGTAATTTTGAAGTGAATCCCTCCAGCATCTCCCCTTGCCATTTGTTGATGCTCTTTTGGTGCATGCGTACTAGATTTTTCTTGGAAGAATTTAACCCAAAAGTTCTGCTTCAGATATGTACCAAACGTTCACCAGCTCTTAAAAGGATCTGAACCAATGATTCATCACTTAGCTTATAACCATGGGAGTCATCAGTGCACAATGGGGTCATCAACTCAACTGGACTAAATCTAGTCCAAAGTAAAGCAAATGTGTAGTATAACTGCAGGGACATCAGCACCAGCTGCTTCAGTCTGTCTGTCTGCTCCTTTTGCTCTGAATTACTTGCTAATGTAGACATAGCCTACATCCTGTTTCTCACCCTGGAAACAATTTGCTCCAGTTTTACTGTAATAAATCTTAGAAAGTTGGCATAAAGAAAAGCATGGAAATTATCCACGCACCCCTGTACAGTATTTTTTCCTCAAGTCCAGAGATCACACAAACTTTGGAAACAAATGGGTTATCCAGAACAAAGATGATAATTAAATTAAAGGATTTTGGTTTATTGTCATAAAATACAGTGTACCATGTTTTCTTCCTGGTAAAATTCTTGGGTTTTGTTTAAGTTATGTTTAACACAATCTGCAGTTCTAAGAACATGGAATAATGGATTATAATCATCCTGACTTTAAAAGCTAGGATGAAATGTAAAGTGGGATAAATCCTTGCTGTTAACAACTGTAAGGTATGATTTTGCCTCAAGCTGCAACGTGCCCAAAATATTCCTACTATACATGTGAATGTGTCAATAGAAGAACATTGCCTTTGTAATTTAGCTCAGCAGCATTGATGCATGTCACTAGATACCCGACTCTTCTCTATCTTTAAGAGGCAATATAAAGTATACAAGTTATTAACAGAAAACCTCTCACAGAAAGATCTCTATTTTCTGGTTTTTGGTCTTAAGCTGTGTCTACATGCCCTGGCTGCAGCTATATCAGCAGAAAGATTACCTCCCTGGCCATCTGGAGCTCTACGTCGCTTCTCTGGTGGAGAATACCACCCTTCTGGTCTGTTGGCTAAGAGGTTCAGGCGAACCTGCCTGCTTTTTCCAATCAAAATGGTAGAAAAAATTTGGTCGAAAATACTATCTTGTTGTGATGGGTGTGGATTTAGAAGCAGTTCAGCA